GGCGGGTCCGTCCTGCGGGAGTGCGGTGTGCGGGCGCCCGCGGCGGAAGCGCCCCACCTGTGCGCGCCCTCCGCGCCGCGCCGGAGCCCGGTGTGTGGGGAAGAGCGAGGTTGCGTCCTCCACGGAGGGAGGCCCAGCTAGAAGTTAGGGGACGCGGAGTTGGGGACTCCATACCGGTGCTTTGGTGATTTTGCAAATATTATTGGCCTTCAAGCTGTTGAAGGACCAAAAACGTTTTTTGTGTTTTTTTTTTTTTCATTTGAGCGACAGGGTCGCGCTATGTAGTTCGCGCCACCATGCCCCACCCGGACCAGGAACTTTCAAAACTACAGTTGGTGCTTCTGAGCAGCTCCTGCAGTGCACTGGCTACTGCATGCGGGGTGAAAACGTCTACCTGGGCCTCCGGGCACGGTTTGGAGGAAGCCTTCGCCGCTGTCTCACGGCCAGCGGTCTGTAGGGTGTCCTGCCTGCCCGGGCCGCAGGTATTGATCGGGCCAAAAGAGCACCTGAGGTGGAGGTGGCGGGCAGCGTTTAGGGTTTTTGATGGCTGCACTGGCAGGGCTCATTCTTCGTGTCTAAACGTTTGCCTCAGAAGTGGAACTAGGCATTTTTACATTTAAATGGGAGAAAGTAACAGCCATTGTGTATATTGAACCCAATTAGTAGCGGCCATTGTGTATATTGTATCATCCTATAGTGTCAAGGACCCTGTTGTGTATTTAGCATTTTCAACAAAGTACAAGGTAGTTATTGTTAACTGCACTTTTTTTTTTTTTTTTTAACTACACGTTGTTACAGATGGGGAATTTGAGAATCTGGAGGGTTGTTGATAAAATTAGCTACTAAGGTTCAAGGTAGAATTTTAACCTCTAGGTTTTGTCCTTACAGTACATACTTGCTGTGGGAAAAGTTACATTGTTTTTTTCACCTTTATTCTTTCACGATAGAAAAGCTCTATTTTGATGCCACTATGTGACAAGTTTCAAACCAAGTATTTTTGGACACTAGTATCTTATTTAATCCTAACAACCCTGTAAAACAGGTGTATTGCTCACTTTAGAGATGTAAAACCTTGGTTAAGCACTTAGCCGTAGGCAAATACTAAGTAGAAGAATGCTTTCAATTCAGTTCATATTGTTTGTTCTTAAATCTTAGTGAGTCTGCCCCTCCCATGCTGCACTTTTATCAAGTGTATAGAGTAAGGGTTACACTGGATATGGTCTTGCTACTTTTAGGCCTAGAATACTGGTAAGTAATTATGTGTCAGTAGCACTGAATGAGACCCTAAGCTCTGCCTCTTGGGCTGGGGATGCTGCTCAGTGAGACAGCACCTGCCTACCAGGTAAAGAGCCCCAGAGTTTGGTCCTCAGCACCCACCAAAAAAAATTTCTTTTTAAAATTCCTCTTGGTGAAATTGTACTCAGTGGTTTCTTATTACTTATTTTTTTTGTCTTTTTGAGACAGTCTCACTGTGCAGTTCAGGTTGGCCTTGAGCTCACTTTGTAACCCAGGCAGGTCTCTGAATATGCAACAATCCTCCTGCCTCAGCCTCCCTAGTGCTGGGATTACAGGCCTGTGCCATTTACAGGCGTGCACACCATGCCCGGCTTATACTCAGTGGTTTTGACAGTGTAGTCTCCAAACATTGGTGAGAAGGTACACTTAAAGGAATTCTGTTTTCATCTCAAAACACTCATTTGGATTTGTTCTGAGCTGCTGTCCCCCCACCACCCACCCCGCTGCTTCCTTTTAAATGGGTTTTTCTTTATATAAGCTTCACGGGAGAATATTAAGGGGATAGTAATAACCTGTCAAAAACTTATTTTTTCTTTGAATTAGTCCTTTTATAATTAATCTCTTTACCAATTCACTATCTTTTTGTTTTTTTGTCAGTCCATTATCACTTGATATCTAGAAAACCATGTGCAACAGCTCTAAAGTTTAATTCAACACCATGAAGTTTTCAACCAAAGCACAAGGACAAGATCCTGGTTTTGGTTTGTTTTGCCCTAACTCTTCCATTCCCTATGTCCCTCACTGGGAATATTCAACCGCCAGCATAGCACTAACTCTAACCTTCTTTGCAGAGATGCTGAGGATGCAATTTATGGAAGAAATGGTTATGATTATGGCCAGTGTCGGCTTCGTGTGGAGTTCCCCAGGACTTACGGAGGTCGGGGTGGGTGGCCCCGTGGTGGGAGGACTGGGCCTCCTACAAGAAGATCTGATTTTCGAGTTCTTGTTTCAGGTATGGTTCCTTTCAAACTGAATGAGATGATGCATGTAAACTACTTAATCTGAGGCTGTGTGTGGTGGTGCACACCTGTAATCCCAGCAGGAGGAATCACTGCGAGTTTGAGCCAGCCTGGGCTACATAGTGAGCTTGAGGCCACCCTGGACTATATGGCAAGACCCTATCTCAGAAGAAAAAAAAACTACTTAGACTGTTTAGTCTGGCCTGTAAGAAACATTAGCTGTTTACTCAGTGTGTGGGATATATGGGCTTTCTTTTCAATAAGCTGTGCACAGTGAGTCTGAAGCCCTCCTCTGGCTAGTATTCTATAAATTGAATTTAGTAGTACAGTCTTGATAGAACATTTTTTCTTTTAGACAGGGACTTGCTGTAAGTTCAGGCTGGCCTTGAACTAACTGCCTCAGCTTCCCGAGCCTCTTGAGTGATGGGATTACAGGTGTGCACCACTATGCCTGGCTTAGAACATAAGAACATTTCTTATAAGAGGGTTTTTTATTGGTAAGAAGGCAAGATGATGGCACAATTCTTTCAGGTGGGATTCTAAAGATATTTTCTTGTGGACCATACCTTCGTATCAGACTTAATAGGAAAGACATTCATTACAGGAGCCAGATTTGAACAACTCACCCAACTTTGGATCTTGCAAAAGGCTAGATTTTTGTGGTGGTTTAGGGATTATATCAAAAAGAAAACCCTATGACTTAGAATCTTGAAGATTATTTAAGAAAGTATAAAACATTTCTGTCTAGTGTTAACAAGTGATGAAATGCTAGCTGGGCGTGGTGGGGCACGCCTATAATCCCAGCACTTGGGAGGCTGAGGTAGGAGGATCATTTTGAGTTCGAGACCAGCCTGGGTTACAAAGTGAGCTCAAGGCCATCCTGAACTGCATAGTGAGACCCTGTCTCAAAAAAAAAGACAAAAAAAAAAAAAAAAAAACCCAAGTGATGAAATGCTAAGCTCAAAAGCCTATGTATTTTTGAAATAGTAATAAAGTGGGAAATACTACTACTTGGATTTCTGCATAGTACAGGCAAGTTTTAGAGCCCTACTGGAGTGAGATGTGTTGAGCAGCCTGGCATCTTTTTAAGATGTGATGAATTTCCCACAGACAGTCGATTTCCAAGTGCTTAAGAGTGATACTCAGTCTCTGCCTATCTTGTGTCCTGTAATTTCTTAATGCCAGAACTCTATTCCCTCCTTCAGGATGTCATACGTTCTTTTTTTTTCTCTTCATGCTGCTCTGAAATCCTGCTTAGAAAACTATTAGGAAATGGCTGCAGTCCTGAGCTGTGAGCGGTAAACACAGCCTGTGAGAGCAGGAGCACATTTCCCTTTCATGACATCAGGTAGGGTTGTATGACTCCCAACTAGTTTTAGCATCTGAATAATACCTTTCCCCCACTGTAGTAGTGAAGAATGTTGGTGATCTCTTAAGAGGTACTTTGTCTAGTTTGTCAGCCATTCACTTCTGTAAGAGAATACTTTTTATATTTTTGTTGTTGTGTTGTTACCTTTGGCTACACTTAGGTTATTTCGTTGGCTGGTTTCAAAATTCCATGTCCTGGGAAACCTGGGTAAGAAGTAATTGGTATTGCAAACTTCACGTTGGAAAAGATTGGAACTTGATTTTGGGAGTTTGGCATTAACTAAAGGACAAAGAAAGAGGTTGTGAATTCTCAAGAGATGTCAAACCTATAAATAAGATGCTCTGTTGGGAAGGTTTTGGTCTCCTGAAGATTAACTAGAATCAGGTTTTTGAGGTGGTGTGGCATACATACTTCAGTGCTTTTCTCTGGTTTTGTGTCCCACAGAGAAGAGACCATATGAATTGGTGGCTCTTAAGGGGGCAGTTAACATGGCTGAAGGATGTGGGCTGTTGTGTTCTCTGTGCCTAGGACTTCCTCCATCAGGCAGCTGGCAGGACCTGAAAGACCACATGCGAGAAGCTGGGGATGTCTGTTATGCAGATGTGCAAAAGGATGGAATGGGGATGGTTGAATATCTCAGAAAAGAAGATATGGAATACGCCCTGCGTAAACTGGATGACACCAAATTCCGTTCTCATGAGGTGGGTCCTTACCTTTTATTGAGCTCCCAGGTCACTGTACCTGAACCTAAGCTAGCAAATACTGTAGATGCAACAGACCCTAGCAGGAGTAGTAGCAGGTCATGCAGTTGTCATGTGATTACTTCATAGTACCATTAAAGATCTACTTTAAGTGAACAGAGCCAGGGAATTTGTCATGCTTAAACCCTGGAAGGTCATAGTACAATGAAGTATGTATTTGTAACTATTTTTAACCTGAAGAAAATACTCGTATAGTCTGTCACAGTGTGGTGGTAGCAGTCTTTTACAGCTGGCTTAAATAGCATTGGACCTTGTGACTGTCCTTCCTCTGGTTGTAGTGTGGGTCAGCCTCATTGCTTCTAGGTAGTGGGCTGAGTTGTCCCTTTGCTTTCCATTTTTTCCAGCATAGTGCAGGCTTCTCTCTCTCTTTTTTTTGTACCAGGAATTGAACTCAGGACCTTGGCACTTGTCTGGCAGGCACTGTGCCACAAGCTATATCCCCGGCCCACAGTCTTCTCTCCCTCTCCCTCTCCCTCTCCCTCTCCCTCTCTCTCTCTCTCTCTCTCTCTGTCTCTCTGTCTCTCTGTCTCTCTGTCTCTCTCTCTGTCTCTTTGAGACAGGTCTCACTACGCAGTTCAGGCTGGCCTTGAGCTCACTTTGTAGCCCATGCTGGCCTCGAACTTGCAACAATCATATATGTGATTTTTACCTGGCAAGTGCTGGGATTACAGGCATGCGCTACCATACCTGGCAGCTGCAGTCGTCTCTTTGAAACATAATCCACCTTGACATCTTATAATTGGTCACTCACCCTTGGGATTTTTGGGAAGGGGGTTACTGAGGGTGGGACCTAGTACCTTTGCATTGGGCTAGATATCTGGCCCACTTTCATTATTTCTTACTACTATTTTTTGAAACAGGGTCTCACTGTGTAGTTAAGGCTGGCCTCAAACTTGTGACCTGCCTCAGCTTTCCAAGTGCTGGGATCACTGGTGTGTCCTTCCATGCCCAGCTCATTTTTATTTTGAGACAAAGTCTTGCTAAGTTGCCCAGGCTGGGCTTGAATTTACAAACCTCCTGCCTAAGCCTCCCGGAGTGCTGGGATTGTCCCACCACACCTAGCTGGGATTTCTTGATGTCCTTTTCATTAGGAAGGCAGCTGCTGCTTTGGATCCCTTTAGACATTAACTGAACTTTTTTTTTTTCTGGTTATCCTGAGTTGCTCTGGTGTTTATGGATAGGTGCGGGACACATCTCTAGACTTTCCTTTTTTGAGGATTTGTATATTTCCTAGTTTTATGGCTTAGAGCAGTGGTGGCGAACCTGTGGCATGTATGCTGCAGTGGGTTGTTTGGTACTAGTTAGGTTTGGTTTTGTTTTGAGACAGGGTCTCACTTTGTAGTGCAGACTGGCCTGGAACTCACTAAGTAGCTCCAGCTGGCCTCAAATTTGCAGCGATCTTCCTGCTTCAGTCTTCCAAGTTCTGCTTTATAGGGGTGTACCACCATGCCTAGCATGCAGCAGGCTGTTTATATCACTGAAAGTTCTAAAAGCTTTTCCATCATTGGCTTAGAGAATAGTTCTTGTGGGGCTGGGGATATAGCTCAGTGGCATAAGTGCCCGCCTGGCAAGCGCAAGGTCATGAGTTCGATCCCTGGTACCGCCAAAAAAAAAAAAAAGAATAGTTCTTGCATAGTTTTTGCTCAGGCTGCTCTCAAGAATTTGAATTTGGAACAGAAACAGAACAGCACCTGGTCCTCGATCCAATTTAAGGGATGGTTTCTCTATGGGTGAATCCAGGGACTTTCACCTAAAGGGAAAAAACATTTGGTTTCTTTTACTTTGCATCTTTGGATCTTGCTGAGGGCAGAGGGCCTAGAGTCAGACCAGCCTGCATGTAACAGTTTCTTAGCTGAGCTCGTACTCTGAACCCCAAATGTTCAATATGCAAAATTGACTTGCCAGGAAGCTAATCTATGAGAGTAACTAACCCATCTAGCCTGTGTCCTAACACCTAGCACATGTTCAGTACAGGCTAGCTTCTTGCATAAGATGATGTCCAACATGTTAAATTGCCACTTACTATCTCTATGACCTTGGACAAATGAAAAAACTTAAATCTTAATTTTCCTCTTTTTTGAAATGGGATAATAAGAGTATCTACTTCCACAAACTTGTGAAGGTTTGATGAAGTAGATGACAGTGGTGGACACAGAGTAAGTGCTCAGGACTTAATCATTATTAGGCAGCTAGGTTAGATGTTGGATGGTTATTCTTTGGGCTCTTTATCTTTTCCTTTACTTTTTGTTTGAATTTCAGGGTGAAACTTCCTACATCCGAGTTTATCCTGAGAGAAGCACCAGCTATGGCTACTCACGGTCTCGGTCTGGGTCAAGGGGCCGTGACTCTCCATACCAAAGCAGGGGTTCCCCACACTACTTCTCTCCTTTCAGGCCCTACTGAGACAGGTGATGGGAGGTTTTTCTTTATTTTTTAGATGACCTGAGCTGCTTTGTGCTCAGAATCTACATTCCAGATTGATGATTTAGTGTCTTAGGAAATTTTTTAAATTTTTTTTTTTTTTTAAGGAAAAAAACTACATAATTTCTACCAGGGCCATATTAGCAGTGACATGTTTTAAACTGCAGGCATTGTGGTTTTGGTTCAGAAACAAGTTGTATATTTTTCACCCCTGATTATGGGAAAAAAAAAAATCAGTGCTGTGTCTTTGTGGGTTGCTCTGCTATGGAGAACAGCAGCTACTGTGACTGAGTTGGCCCATTCTGTTTAGAAATATATTTTAAATGTTTAGTAATTGACATGTGTGGTTGTCCTTGATTAAGTATATGATTTCACCTAACAGATACACTATATATGTATTTTTTTATAATCATTAAGATATCATAGCAGCTTGTACCCAATTTATAAGGAATTAGGAACACATAACTTTACTTAGGAATGATGATAGTTGTTCTGGTGGTAGCCTGAGGATTTCAACTCCAATGGCTTGTCCAGGGTTATCCTTATCCTTATAATTCCAACCTGATTTTGTAAATTAAACTGTCTTAAAGAGATGGTGGCATGGTGACTTATACCTATCATCCCTGCCACTGAAGCTGAGTCTGTGAGTTGGCGGCCAGGCTAGGTTACATACCCAGACTGCATTGCTTAGCCATACCCTGTCTGAGGCAAACACACAAAAAAAACAAAAACAAAAGGTGAAGGAAATGGGAAGAATGAAAACAGGTTCAGCGCTGGAGACAGGATCTCACTATGCAATTCAGGCTATCCTTGAGCTTGCTTTGTAGCCCAGGCTGGTCGAACTTGTAGTGATCTCCTACCTCAGCCTCCCGAGTGCTGGGATTATAGGCGTGTGCCACCACATCTATCCAGGGCTATTTTATACTAAGTTCTCTTTTCAGAAAGAGAAACTATAGGTGTGGCTCTATTTGCATATAATCACTATGGGATTGAGGGTGGCTCTATAGTATTGAACACTGGTCACACAACAGAAAGTTAGCTGTCTGCTCTGATTATAGAGTAGCCTATAATCCCAGGAATAAATGTAAGTACAGTATGTTTGGTAAAAATAACCCCATTCAAGTTAGTGGAATCAACAAGTAACAATGACAGCTCAGGTTTTAACAGTGACCCCATGCTTGTGTCTGTCAGACATATAAACAGAAAGGTTCACTTACATGCAGTTTGGTAGAGTCTTTTAAGGAGAGGTACATACAGGAAGATAATGTTTTGGCTAGAGTTTGCCAAATCTGTCTTCAGAAGAGGCAGTTATAAAACATGCTTGAATATCCATTTTTTTCAGTTGACTGAAGAAAGTGGGACGGTTAAGGTTTACATTAAAATACCACTATTGTGCTTCCATGTGCTCACAGGGTACCCTCTTCCCAGGATAGCCACTTAGCTGTGTAGGAAGGATTCTTGTTTATCCAGCTTTGGTAAAGAGATATTACCTGTTTGAAAATAATAAGAAAAAATGTTACAGCTGAACTGTGCTGAGTTGGTCACTTGATAGCAGACAATGAAAATAAGTGTAGTTATTTTCTAATAATAGTCTTTTTAGTAAGGAGTAGGCAGGTTAACTTGCCATTTATATGCAGGTAAGATTGGAATGAAAGACAAGTAAGGTTCTATTTGGGAGATAATACATATTTTCTCTTTTTTTTTTTATATTAACACTTTTTTTTTTTTGTACCGGGAATCGAACTCATGACCTCACACTTGCCAGGCAGGCGCTGTGCCGCTGAGCTAAATCATCAGCCCCCTCTCTCTTCTTTTTGTTGAGACAGGGTCTCACTATGCAGTTCAGGCTGGCCTTGAGCTTACTTTAATAGCGCAGGCTGTTCTTGAACTTGCAACGATCCTCCTGCCTCAGCTTCTCAAGTGCTGGGATTATAGGCATGCGCCACCATACCTGGCTAGTGTGTGTATGTATGTGGGTGTATGTATATATATATATATGACCAACATGTATGTCTTGCTAAAGCAGTGGTAACTGTGGGGCTCCAAGATGGTGGGATTACAAAATCTTCTCTCCAGTGAAGAGGGGAGTCAAAGGCATGTACAGTTTAGCTTTGGTTTGCTTGCCTGCCTTCACATCCTTCAGCTAGAGTAGTGGTGGCAAACCTACAGCATGGGTGCCACAGCCAGCTCTTTGTATTACTGAAAGTTCTAAAAGGTTTACTGTCACTAAACAAGAGTTTTCCTTTCACTGGTTAGTTTTGATGAGCTCCAAGAAGAGGTAACTCCTGGGCTAGTGTTTTATTTGGAGGCTGATACTGAACTGGAAGCTGGCACTTGGAAAGTAGTCTACTGAGGGCTTTGGTTTTCCCATTCCTAAATGCCCAGGCAAGCTGGGCATAATGAATTCAAGGCTAGCCTGAGCTACATAGAGAGACCCCATTCCAAGGGATAATAAGATTCATTAAAAGAAGCCGGATGTGGTGGCACACGCCTGTAATCCCAGCACTGGGGAGGCTGAGGCAGGAGGATTGTTGCGAGTTCGAGGCCAACCTGGGCTACAAGGTGAGCTCAAGGCCAGCCTGAACTGCATAGTGAGACGCTGCCTCAAAAAGGCAATTAAAAAAAAAAAAAAAAAAAATTCCTTAAAAGAAAAAACAACAACAACAAAAAACAATACCTAAATGCCCAGGGAGTGCAACAGCACTGAGTAATTACCATCTGCACAGGAAATAAAAACCATCTACCCAAGGTTCTGGATTTTACTAATGGGCCGGAGCTGGAGTTTTTTAGGGGTCGTGGTAATTAGGAATTGAACCCAGGGCCTTTACACTCAACTACACCCAGATTCCTTTTAAGTTTTTTTTTAAATTTTGAGACAGGGTCTAGCTAAATTGCCTAGCGTGAGCTTGAGGATCCTCCTGCCTCAGCACCCCCAGAGTGGTGAGATTATAGATGTGTGCCATTATGTCTGGCTTCAAGAGTTCTTTTGGTACTTCCATTTAAAAATTTTACAGTGAAATTAAAGATACGAGTTTCCACACCAAGTACTACAAACCAAACACTCAGGTTTTATTTGGCTTGTCAGTTTGTGTTCCCACTCCTACTCCTTAGGAATTGATCCCAGAGCCTTTGCACTGAACTACATCCCAAGCACTCCCTGCTTTTTAAAAAATTAGGACACGGTCCTACTAAGTTGACCAGGGTGGGCTGTAACTGGGCAGTCTTCCTGCCTCAGCTCCCCAGATTGCTGGGAGCCAGGTATATCTCATTTGGCCTGTGTTTTTTTGTTTGTTTAAAATTTGAATTGGTTTCCAACACTTAACACTGGCAAATAGTATACAAAATGTCAAGCATCTAGGTTCTCCAAAAATGGGCTCACATTCCTGTGTGGCACCAAAAGAGAAGCAGTGAATGCCAGCTGTCCCTTTAGGCAGAGCTCTGGCACTTGGGCTCCAAATTTGCCACCCACTATATACTTTTCCAGTCCCAGTTCATTCCTATAACTGACTGGCCCCTGGCGGTAAGTGTGATACCTAGACTCTAATGCCATTTTTTTTTTTTCTTTTTGAGGGCCTTGCTATGTAGTTTAGGTTGGTCTTGAACTTAATATGTAGTCCAGGCTGGTCTCGAACTCAGAGAATACTCCTGCCTCAGCCACCGAGAGCTGTGACTACAGGTGTGCATCATATCCAGCTCTGATGCCATCTTAGTGCACCTATCTGTGCACTTTCCTTTTCCAGGTGCCTGCACAGCATCTTCATCCTCACAGTTCCTACTTCATTCCTTAGGTCACCTTGTGACTATCTGGACTATTCTATTAAAACCACTCTGGGCAACACATACCTGGCGGGGCCACAAAATACTCCTCCATGACTCGATGAGAGTTTTGTAGTAGTTCTTCAGCACAGTTGCCTTCTGCTACATTGTCAGATCTCAAGTACAGACATCTGCAAAACCCAGAAGTTCAAGGTTACCTTCTCAGGGAATGGAGAAGGCCTCACAGTTGGAGGACAAGGCAGAACAGCATAGTCCTGAGTTACGGTCACAGCTCCAACACACAGGAGCAATGGTCAAGAGCAGACCAAACTATAGAGTCTCCTGACAACTGAGGTAAGTGGTAATTATTTCTCAGGACTGACATATTTAACAAATATTTTTGGGTGATTACTAGGAGTAGGTTACATCTGGGTGGAGACAGATGAAAAGGCAATTACAATAAAATGGTTAAATTTTAACAGAAGTAGGCACAGCCTGGCAAGGCACTAGGAGGGTATCTAGCCCAGCCTGGGTGAGAAGCATGAACTCAGAATAGGTGATGTTGTTGTGAAAGTGAAAGAAATAGCTGGGTGGTGGATGGAAAATAGACTTCTGGGAAGCAGCAGCAGCAAGGATGTGAAAACAAAAAGCTCAGCAGGTTCAGAGAAGAGGAGGGAGTGGAGAGGGCTGCAGCATGGCCTTCCTGGGTAGAAGAGAGAGTGTAACATCCAAGCAAGATGCAGGAGGGAGGTCGTTCAAGAGTGGCCTGCTTAAGGATGTTGGCTCCTAAGTGCTATGCTGTGACCTGAGCCCTTTCCGGTGCCCTACAATGAACGCTGGTTTCCCCACGGCCACTTAGGTGGGTGTGACAAGTGCTGGTTGAGCAAGATCGACCACAAATAGCTCAGCAATCTCCAACTGTTACTTGGGTCTAGTGGCTTTAGTAAAGTGTCAAGATAGCAAATGGGAACTTTGCACATGGACATGAAGCCTCACCCTTGTTTCAAACTAGAAAGTGGCCGGGCATGGTGGCACACACCTGTAATCCCAGCACTCGGGAGGCTGAGGCAGGAGGATATTTGTGAGTTCAAAACTAGCCTGGGCTACAAAGTGAGCTCAAGGCCAGCCTGAACTGCATAGCGAGACCCTGTCTCAAAAAGACCAAACCAGAAAGTGCCTGAACAGAGGTCTGAGCCTTTTCAGAGTTGAGCTGAGAAATGAAGTAACTAAAGAGCAATCAAGCTTTCTACTGTGAGTTAGGGCACAGATGGAAGTTAACCCTAGTGGGGTTGAGTCATGTCACAGAGCGGCAGGAATGCAACAGAAACACCTGCACAAAGGCTGCCTGTACTAGAGGGCTAAGTTGTCAGCATAAGACTCAGGAAAAGAAAAGGAATCTTGGATCTCAGCCCAGAGCTAATCTAAGCACAATAAATTCATGACAGAAGAGCAGAGAGCTACAGTCGATTCCAAGGATCCCCCAGTCTTAACTGACCTGAGGAAGAGTGACCTTAAGCTTTTCAAAAAAAAGAGTTGCCCTTTGGGTGTTTATAAAAAAAATATTTAAGACAGGCATGGTGGCACATGACTATAATCCCAACACTCAGAAGGCTGAGGCAGGATTGCCAGAAGTTTGAAGCCAGCCTGAACTTCATAGTGAGACCCTGGAAAGCAAAAAATAAAAATTACCTGTAATTGTACCATTCCAAGATGACCCATGGACTTCCTAGACTTTCTGCTGGACATTGGCTAAAAACAGCTAAAAACTTAGGCTTCCAAGTCACAGCTGAAATCATTTTCCAGCACCAGTTACGGATCCTCTCTGTTTCAGCTTCCCTACTTACAGAATGCTTCTCAGGATTACTGAGATCAAATGTAATACTAAAAAGTGAGGTCTGATCATGCTGGGCCTGCATTTCCAAGAAGTGTGTTCAGTGACATGCTTTTTTCTGAGCATACCTCAGTCCGTCACTCATTCACAGTATGTCTGTGCATATTCTCTTTATTTGTTGAAATGCTCACTATGTAGCAGTTTAGGCTGGCCTTAAACTCCTGGCAATCCTGCCTCAGCCTCCTGAGAGCTGGGTTTACAGGATTATAGGTGTATGCCATTATGTCTTGCTGTCCAACAGTAGATTTTAATAGCAGTTGATTCGTTTTGCTCATTTAGTAATCAGGTTTCCTATGACATTTCTAGAAGAGATTATCCCAGACGCCACACATTTCCACTTAATTCCTTCCCTTTACAGTGGATTTATCCCTAGAATAAGCCTCTCACTCCCTATTTATTTTTTTGGAGAAAGGGTCTCTCTGTGTTGCTGTATTGTCCTTGAACTTATGACCCTCCTGCCTCAGCCTCTCAAGTAGCTGGGATTTCAGGTGTGTGCCACCATGCCCAGTCCTACTTTCTTCATTATAGGTTATTAAACTTACAAAAAGACCTTTTAGTTAGCGAGTTGTTTAACTTCCCTGGGTCTTAGACTCGTATAAAGTATCAGAGGATAGGACAGACTCTTCTGGTCAGTCCCTGTCTCTGTCTGTCTGTCTCTGTCTCTCTCCCTCTAGGCTGGGGATTGAAGCCAGAGTCTTTACACTGAACTGCATACCACACCCATCCCTTTTGAAATTATGTCTTGCTTGCAATTTGTAGCTTTCTAGAGGGTGGGGCTTGCAGGTGTGCATCACATGTATGGTAGAAAATACTGCCTTTTTTTTTTTTTTTGGTACCTGAAATCAAACTCAGGACCTTGCGCTTGCCAGGCAGGCATTCGTGCTGCTGGGCTATATCCCTGCCAATACTGCTTTTTAAAAGGCATGGAAGGGCTGTGGCAGCATGGAAATGTGTACCTTGTCTGCCTTTGGACTGGCTGACAGCATGGCCACTGCCTTTTTTTCTGCCTGTTTCCTGGTATCTGGCTGTCAGTAATAGTTCCTCTGGATGCCACTTTACTTCCACCTGCAAGCCTTTTCTCTCCTAATTTAGTTGGGTGTACACTGAGTTTGGTGATACATACCTGTGATCCCAGCATTCTGGAAGGCTGAGGCAGGAGGATCAGAGTTTGAGCCCAGCCTGAACAAGTTAGTGCTTTAGTGAGATCTTGCCTCCAAGACGGGGGCAGGGGGTATTGCTGGGGACACAAAGGCCATGGATGGATACTAGTGCTGACACACACACACACACACAAAATGGTGGGCAGAGGCTCTGAGGAACAGAGCTGTAAACACTAAAGTGTTTGGCTGCAGTCAGATGCTCTTAAGTTGATTTCAGCTGACCTATCTAGAGCGACATTTGTAAGCAGAGGCTCTTGAGTTCCAAGTACTTTTGGGGGACTAGGGATTGAACCCAGGGCCTTTGCACTGATCTACATCCCCAGCCCACGCTGGACTCAAACTTGTAATCCTCTTGCCTGAGCCTCCCAGACTGCTGGGATGCAGGTGAGTGCCACTGCTCCCAACAAGTTCCATTCTTGTTGCCTCCCCTCTTCCTGTGTTGTGTATAATACCGGGGACTGAACCCAACACTGTCACACTGTTACATCCCAGCCACCCCTTTTTATAAGAAGTTTTCTTGCGTGTGGTGGTGGTGGTGGTGCTAGGGATTAAACTCAGGACACTCTACCACTGAGCTACATACCCAGCCCTTTATTTTTTATTTTGGGACAGGGTCTCATTAAATTGCTCAGAATGGCCAGGTGTGGTGCTGCACACCTATAATTCAGCAGTTAGAGGGCTGAGGCAGGAAGATCTCTAAGCTCGAGGCCATCTTGAGCTACATAGTCAGTTCAAGGTCAGCCTGAACTATCCCCCAAAAAACAAAACAACAAACCGAATGAATGAAAGTATGTATGTATGTATGTTACCCAGGCTGGGCTCAGAGTTTTGATCCTCTTCCTTTGGCTTCCCAAAGTGCTGAGATTATAGGCATGTGCCACGATGCCTGGCTAAACTATTAACTCTTACTTGCCTTCCACAGTTGTATGTTGTTACTGAGATGATGCACATAAATTCTTAGTTCCTTACCCATACTCACATACTCACCCCAATGCTTTTAGCTCAAATTAAATGATTTAAGTGTTATTAATATGCAAAGAGATTTCTATTACCTAGTCAGGGCTTTACAGCTAATGTAACCTAAAATGACTAAAACTTTACTAGGTTCTGTTTCACATTCAGGCATTGCGTTCAAGCATTAAAATCTTAACAAATGTCACATTAAAATGCTTCATGGCAACTATTAACCCAAACTGGATTCCAAATTTATGAAAAGTGTGCAGATCACAAAGTCATATTAAGATTCCACTACCAGATCCAAGTCCCTTGTCTTTCTTCAGAAAGAAAAGGTTTTTCACAAACTCTTTCCTTTTTAATGGTTACATCTCCATAGTTACCCTCTAGAAGATTCGGGAAATTCTGACTCCATTTTGTGGTTCTGTTCTTTTTCCCAAAGAAATTAATATAGACTATTCATTCAGCAAACACTTGCTGAGTGTCTACTTGTTAGTGCGAAACACTGAAAGCATGATGAACAAAGCCACCAAGCTCCCTGGAATGTGTGTGTGGAGAGCGGCATGAAACTAGGTAGCTGGGCATGGTGGCGCATGCCTGTAATCCCAGCACTGAGGAGGCTGAGGCGGGAAGATTGTTGTGAGTTCGAGACCAGCCTGGGCTACAAAGTGCGCTCAAGGCCAGCCTGAACTGCATAGAGAGACTCTGTCTCAGAAAAAAAAAAAAAAAAACCACACACACAAAAAAACAACTAGGTAACATGCCAGCAGATGTATAAACAAATGATTACCAGCTCTGAACATCATGAGCACATCACAGGTGCTGGAAGGGAACCTCACTCAGTATAAAAGAATGAAGAAGTTGGGCAAGACAAGGACGAGGTGATAATTGTCACCACCACCATGCCATTCCACACTGGGATTAAACCCACGGTTTCCTGCATGCTCTGTCCCTGAGGTACAACCCCAGCCCATTTAGGAAAGTTTTTGTTTGAGACAGGTATCGCTGTGTAGACTGGCCTCATCTGTGATCCTTCTGTCTCAGTCTCCCAAGTAGAAGGGATTACAGGTGTATGCTGCTATGCCTGGCAAACGCTGGGATTTTTTTTGTTTTGTTTTGAGACAGGGTCTTGCTAGAGAGATCAGGCTGGCCCTGAACTCATGTAGGTCCCTCAAGCTAGCTTCCAACTTGTAGCAGTCCTCCTGCCTCAGCCTCCCAGAGTGCTGGGATTGCAGGTATGTGCCACCACACCTGGTACATGCTGAGAATTTAAGAAAAGAGCATGGAGAGCTGGGTTAGATCAGGTCCTGCAGGCAATGGTGAAGCTTTTGTATTTGTTAAAAAGTGGTGAGAAGTTAAAAGACTTGGGTAAGGTGACATCAGATTTCTGTTTTATTTTTTTTTTCTTGTTTATTTTGTTTTATTTTTTTGGTTTTTTTTCTGTTACCGGTAATCAAACTCATGACCTTGCGCTTGCCAGGCAGGTGCTGTGCCCCTGAGCTAAATCCCCCCCTCCCAAGACTTCTGTTTAAAAGTGCTGCATTGCCGGGCATGGTGGCGCACGCCTGTAATTCCAGCACTCGGGAGGATGAGACAGGAGGATAGTTGGAGAATAATTGCAAGTTCAAGGCCAGCCTGGGCTACAAAGTGAGCTCAAGGCCAGCCTGAACTGCATAGCGAGACCCTGTCTCAAAAAAACAAACGAACAAACAAAATAAAGTGCTGCATAACTACACAAATGGTTAACCTTTCTTGAGGACTGGCCTGCAAAGTAAAGATCTGAAGGAATCAAAGGCTGGATAGAGAAAAGAATGGTTAGAAGAGTGTTAAATTTGTAAGGTGTTGCACGGTGGTGCACATCTGCCATCCTAGCACTTGGGAGGCTGAGGCAGGAGGATTGCTGTGAGTTTCAAGGCTAGCCTGGGCTACACAGTGAGTTCAAGGCCAGTCTGAACTATACAGCAAGATCTTGTCTCAGAAAAAGTTAAAAGACTTAAATTTCACAAGATTATGGTTATGGATCTTGCTCTCTATTGTTACTAATGTAAAGTCTTTACTTACAGTTAGAAGATTTTCCCCCCCCCCTCCGGTACCAGGAACCGAACTCACGACCTTGCGCTTGCCAGGCAGGCGCTTTGCTGCTGAGCTAAATCCCCAGCCCCTGGTTAGAAGATATTTTTAAAATTACCTTCATGAAAAGCTAGGATAGGTAGCTCTGGATTGTCCCTATCCTTGAGTTAAGTATCTAGTGATCTTCCTAAGAAGGCAGCTCCCAAGAGCAAACGTCTGTTGGCAGAAAGAATTTCAAAGAAAAGAGCATTTTCTTCAAAATGTATTAAGGTTTAGAAACAGCTGGTGGAGGCTTTTGAGAAGCCACAGTATTCAAGGGGGCCTGTAAGCCCTGAACTCGGTGTCCTGCACGCTAGGCAAGGAAGGTGAGTCTGTCAATGACTTACTCCTCCATAGCGTACCGCACTACATTCACTATTTACTCTGTCCCATTAAGGCATTTGTGTTTTGGGTCCATGGTTAAAACTTCCTTGCATACTCTTATCAGGAAACAAAACAATGCATACACCAAAACATACACAAAAGGGTGCACACACAAGCACTGATAATACTATTCTGACCTTATTTTTTATTAAATGTATCTTGGAAACCTGTCCATATCAAGATGTTTGTTACTTATATGCTAATATGACATCAAATACAAATAAGTTGTTTCATTATTTTTAACAACTTCCAGATATCCCTCTTCTTTTTTTTTTCAGATATCCCATTGTATGATGTATTTGCCTTTTATTTAGGTTGTTTCTGGGTTTGGTTTTGTTTTGGGTTCTATAAATAGTTTTCCAAAAAACATTTGTGCGTGTCTTTCTTCCCCTCTTCCTTATGGTGTTGGAATTTGAACCCAGAGCTTTCCAAATGTTCTATGTCTGAGCTATATCCCCAACCCCTTGCACATAGATCTTGTACATTCACAGTTCTTTCCACAGGGAGACACTGGGTCACAAAATATATACTTATTAAATTATATATATATATATACACACACACAAATACGTACATATTTTAAATTTTGAAGCAGGAATAATAACACTAAGCAAGTCAGGCCAGGCGTGGTGGTGCACGCCTGCAATCCCAGCACTCGGGAGGCTGAGGAAGGAGGATTGCTGAGAGCTCGAGACCAGCTTGGGCTACAAAGTGAGCTCACGGCTGTCCTGAACTGCACAGCGAGACCCTGTCTCAAAAAGACAACAAACTAACAAAAACACTAAGCAAGTCAGAAAACGAAGCTCATATTGTAAAGTAACAGACAAATAAATAAAAATATCAGGAAGAGGAACAGAATTACTGATTTGGTCAAGGGATACCTCTCTGAGATCTGAGATTTGCATGCAAATATGTAGAATGCCACAACTGTTTGTAAGCAAACTGCGCAAGAAAAAATGCTCGACAAGTGTAAAAATCCAAGCAGAGGACCGAACTTGGTTTAAGCAGTTAAGAAAGCTAGGGTAGGGGCTGGGGATTTAACTCAGCGGCACAGCGCCTGCCTGGCAAGCGCGAGGTCGTGAGTTGGATTCCCGGTACCGGAAAGAAACAAACAAACAAAAAAAGCTAGGGTACGCAGCAACTATTGCCTTCAAGGCAATGATTAGCAAGCAGTTCGGATTCTGTTCCTACTTACACTGGGAAGACTCAAATATTTCAGGTGGGAGTGACAGGATTCACAAGCATGGTGGCGCACGCCTGTAATCCCAGCACTCCGGAAGCTGAGGCAGGAGGATCGCTGCAAATTCGAGACCAGCCTGAACTGCACAGCGAGATCCTGTCTCAAAAAGACAAAAACAAACAACCGCGGGCGACTGTGCACAAATTCTTAATCTCGCTGAGGCTCTTTCACTCTCAGATGGGGTATTAATCTTTACTAAACGCCTGCAAAAGCGCCACAGCCTGTGAAGGCTTCGGGGGCGGAGCCGCGAGTTTTACCTGTCCTCCAGTACGGACTCCATGGGCTCCACTCCGTCGGTGTCCACCTCACGCAGGCGGTCCGCAAAGGCGACAGCTTTCTCCAGCCGCGCCACGGCTTCGCGGCTGCCGAAGTCCACAAGCGCTAGACGCTCCAAGTGCTCGATCACCTCGACAGTGATACGACCGCTTCCCTGCGGAATAAAGCGGAGCGCATGGGTCACGGGCGAAGTCCGCTCCGCCACCCTCCGAGACATCGCCGGCCTTTACCTGAACATTCGCCTTGGTGGAGAAGGCTTGGCGCCTGCCAAGCCCACCCCGAAAGGCCAACCATACAGCCCGCGCAGCCATTTCTCCCCCTCTCGGCTCCCGTAGCTCGCCGACCCAACGCCAAGCGATTCGTTTAAGTGTGATGACATCATAGTGCGCCTCTGTAGCTCAGCCACCGCCATGAACAGCGTAGGAGAGGCTTGCACGGATATGAAGCGCGAGTACGATCAGTGCTTCAATCGCTGGTTTGCCGAGAAGTTTCTCAAGGGGGACGGTTCCGGGGACCCGTGCACTGATCTCTTCAAGCGCTACCAGCAGTGTGTTCAGGTGAGCCGCTACCCAAGCCCTCCGTTCTCCGTCCTCAGGCCCAGCGTTCTCTGCGGTGTTCCCCTGCCCTAAGAATCACACCCAGCGGGGCTTGTGATACGGGGGTGGAGAAAGTCGCTAACACGGCCGGCGGCGGCAGCCCTCTCCCCTCCTGTCAGCATCGTGGCCACCCAGGTGTGTCTCCGACTGCCCAGTTTGTTTGTTTGTTGAGACAAGGTTTCGCTGGGTAGCCCAGCTGGCCTCGAACTCGCGGGGATCCGCCCTGAGCCTCCCGAGTAGCTGGGACTACAGGAGTGTGTCGACACGCCCGGCTTCAGTGCTTTACTCTTTAAGGAGCACAGTAATACCTTTTGGATCACTTATTTGGTGATCGTCCTAAACTTTCAAAGTAGCCGTAGTTACTAACACTCGGAAAGAGGAAATGGTTCGTGCAAGTTCACTAGATGAGATTTTCTTGATTGTCAGCGGCGCACTTTTCCCTATGTACTGTTGGGTGGGTGAGGTGTTTACTTTCTTAGACACTGTGGAGAGTCCCCGTTTTTGTTATAATCCCATTGGCTTGTTTATCTCTTTGGACTACTTGTTAACTGCAGCAAGTAAAGTGTCATTCTGACTCAAGGGATGTGGAGTGCTTTAAATTACAAGAATAGCGCAGGGAAAAGCACTCCACTCAGTTATCGTACAATATCCTCACATAATTTCATGAAGTAGTTGCCATCTCTTTTTTTTTTCTTTTGGTTTTTCTCCGGTACTGGGAACCGAACCCACGACCTTGCACTTGCCAGGCAGGCGCTTTGCCGCTGAGCTAAATCCCCAGGCCCCAGTAGTTGCCATCTTTACCCCATTTACAGTTGAGTGAGGACAGTGAGGCTCGCTCAAGGCCACATAACCAATAAACCCTGGAATCCAAATTTGAACCCACATCTGTCACTAAATAAAGTGATCCATTTTCCAAATGTCACTTTTATATTTTGCAGAGTGCTAGGAATTAAACCCAGAGCTTTTGCAGTAAGCTTCATCCCTAGCTCCCACATCCTTTTACTTTTTTGAGACAGGATCTTGTATGTAGGTTAGCCTGGACTTGAACTCCCACTACATAGCCCAGGCTGGCCTCGAACTCAAGGTGATCCTCCTGCCTGAATCTCCCCAGTGCTGGAATTACAGGCATGCCACCGCGCCCTGCCTACCACCTCCTTTTTTTATTTTTGAGACAGAGTCTCAGGCTGGGGATGTAGCTCAGGGGCATAGCACTTGCCTGGCAAGCCTTGAGGCTGTGAGTTGGATTCCTGGTACCAAAAAAAAAAGAGAGAGTTTCCACAAGTAGCTCAGGTTGGCCTTGCCCTTTCACTGATCCTCCTGTTCCACCACACCCTGGCAACCACCACCCTTTAAAATTTTTAAAAAAAAAAACAGAGTGGCTAAATTGCCCAGGTTAAACTTGAACTTGCTATCCTCTTGCTTCAGCCTCCCAGAGTGGTGGGATTATAAGCATGTGACACCACCTAGCCAAGATGTCACGTCTAAATTTTAATGGTTGGGTGTGATGGCACACGCCTGTAATCCCAGCCCTCGAGAGGCTGAAGCAGGATTGTTTGGAGTTCAGGGCCAGCCTGGGCTACAAAGTGAGCTCAAGGCCAGCCTGAACTGCATAATGAGACCATCCCAAAAGACAAAAAAAAAAAAATTGTAATAGTTCCCTTACAACTCCTCTTTCAATCTTTCATCTGGGCTTCACAATTCCTTTCTTTGTAATAGTACTTCTGTTTATTAAAAAATGTCGCTTTATACTGTAGTTTAATCTGATTTTACTTTTGTGCCATCACATTTTATTTGCAAAGCTTGTACTTCAAACAGTTATGTGTTTTCTCCTCCCATCAGAAAGCAATAAAGGAGAAAGAGATTCCTATTGAAGGACTGGAGTTCATGGGCCATGGCAAAGAAAAGCCTGAAAATTCTTCTTGACCTTGAAAATGGATTTCTCATCAGGAAATTGAGGACTCTGGATTTTGTCAACTAAGACCCTGAAAACAGCCATGGGATTGATGAGTTTAGGAGGGAGGAGTTTTATTTCTTCCTTCTTGAAGTTTTCCTCACTTGTAAATGATGAACTATCATTGCTTTAGATGATTTCTCACTTGTTCTGGCATCTTGCAGGAATTCAGTGTGCTAAAATTGAACGATTTCTCTCGAGATGATGATTGCAATACAGAGTCTGGAATTAGCTTTAAATATATCTTGTATGTAAATAATGATAAGCTAATCAAGATGGTCAGGGTTGCCTGAAGTCTTGATTTTGCTGCAAAAAGACATTACACTGTACTGGGGTCATTGTGAAAGCGTTTGGGTAGGACCTCTTTTTCTCTCTCAGGGAGTAAATACTCTAAAAAGGGATCTGGGCACAACACTTTCAATCAATGCTTGGGAGCACAGTTTTATTTTTATATGGTAACTAACAGTTTGCGGGTGACCTGGGTTAGACAAAGAGAAAGACAGCTTTTAACACTTTCTGTCTCCAGGTGTCTAATTAAGACATGAAAGCTTCAAGAATGTTGACGTAAACACCATTTCAGAGCTCACGGTGTAGTTGAGGAATCAGAGTATTTGCAGTGCCTATGGAAGAACCACCTATTAGAGATTTGGTGTTGCCAGCTTTCAACCTAAGTTAATGAATTAAGTCAACCTGCCTGTCGTAAAGCCAAAATGCTGCATCTGGTTAAATGGAGGGGAAAGGTGCTTGCTTTACTTGCCTTGTTTGCCCACCCTATAAGGTCTATAATCATGAAGATGGAATAAACGCTTTTAGTTTTCAATCATTATTTGCTCTTGGAACTCACTGTACTCTATGGAATGCCTGGTAACCGTTACGCCATGTTTCTTTTTTTTTTTTTTTTCTCCGGTACCGGGAACCGAACTCACGACCTTGCGCTTGCCAGGCAGGCGCTTTTGCCGCTGAGCTAAATCCCCACCCCCAGTTACGCCATGTTTCATGCGTACATTACAGAGTTTTATGTTTTATAATTTGGGGGGGGCGGGTACCAGGAATCAAACTCAGGACCTTGCACCTGCCAGGCAGGCGCTTATGCCGCTGAGCTATATCCCCAGCCCATATAATTTAAAGGTGAAGACTTATTGAAGCTAGGTACTGTATCACACTCAGAAACCTAATTTCTAAAATTTATTTCCATAGTTATCTATACAGATAACCTAATGAAAAAACATTTATATTATGGTAGCAAAAAAAGTCAGTATCAAGTCTGGCATGGTGGTTCACACCTGTAATCCCAACACTATGGGAGGCTGAGGCGGCAGGATTGCAAGTTTGAGCCCAGCCTGGAGAACTTGGTGAGACATGAGCTCCAAAACATTTTTTTACAAAGAGCTAGGAATGGCTCAGTGTGAAGTCCCTGGGCTCAATCTTGAGTATGAAAAAGGGTGGGGAGAGCGGGTATCAGGTGAGCACTTGGATATGAAAATGCCATGTAATCCTCACAGCTGCCTATCTTGAGGAATTAGTTTTATTATATGTCCAAAGATAGTATGAACTTGGTTTATGGAAAGCCTAAGTTCTGTTGTCTTCTAACAAGCACTATTTTAGCTAGGTGTGGTGGCACATGCCTGTAATCCCAAGCAACTGTGAGGATGAGGCAGAAGGATCTCTGAAATTGAGGCCAACCTGAACTCAACACTCTCCACCAAAAAGAATTACTAGTTCATATTTAATGTGTCCCTTAATATCATTTCAAAATATTCTATATTTATATTGTTTCACTGGTCAAGGTCTCTTAAAGATTATAAAAAGATTTTGGGGACCCAGCCAGGTATCTGAAGTTAAACAGATCTACCCCAAACCCTGGCCACAAGCAAAACAGATCTATAAGGACTGAGTGCAGGGTGACAGGTTTCAAAATGGCCAATATAATGGATACTTTTTCAGTGGTGCTCATGGTTGAAGCCAGGGCCTTCAGCATACTAGGTTAAGTGCTCTACCATTGAGCTACATCTGCAATTTGTTTCAGTGGTACTAACGGAATCCAAGGCATTTACATTGAACTACTGTACATCCCCAAACATATTTGTAGACACAGTGTTTCAAAAGTTGCCCAGCTGGTACTCAAGTATAATCCCCCTGCTTCAGCCTCCTGGAGTGCTGGGATACTTGGCTTCCAGCTTGCTCTTTATTTTGAGACAGGGTTTGCTAAATCACCCAGGCTGTCCTTGAGATTCTCTGCCTTAGCCCCCAAGTAGCTTGAACTGTAAGTGTGCACCAACATACTGGCTGGGAAAGACATGTTAACTTATCAGTTGCCAAAATAGATTTAAAAATCCTTGAGGGCCCAAGGATATAGCTTAGCTGTGCTGCGCCTGACTGACAAGCTCCAGGTCCTGAGTTTGATTCCACCCTCCCACCTCCCAAAAATCCTTGAAACATGGCATGATGACACATGCCTGAAGAAGCAGGAATATCACCTGAGCCCAGAGATTTCAAGCCAGACTGGGCAACATAGTGAGACCCCGTCTTTAAAAAAACAAATCCTGGGGCTGGGGACGTAGCTTAGAGGCACAAGCACCTGCCTAGCAAGTGCAAGGTCCTGAGTTCAATTCCCAGTCTGGACATGGTGAGGCACACCTGTAATCCCAGCACTTGGGAGGCTGAGGCAGGAGGATCATTGTGAATTCAAAGCCAGCCTGAACTGCATAGTGAGACCCTGTCTCAAAAAGACATTAAAAAAAAAACATTAAAAAGATAAAAAGACCACACATTAATAGCTTCCTATGTCCACATCCTACCAAAAGGAATTCCTCAAACTGCTACCAAAAGAATAATTCTGATTGCTCATCCTATTTTGACCTCATACTTTAAAGGTTTCAAGTTTTATGAGGAATTAGTTGCCATTTAGGTTGGTTTTTGTAACTCTTCCTAGTGTCTCTCCCTCCTAATTCTTATGACTATGGGACAGTTTTAATTTTAGACACAAATAAAGCAAATACTATATGTAAAAACGTGAACCACTTCCTTTGTTTCTCTACAAGTTTCTGAATCTACCAGCTGCCAAGGTGCAGGGACAAGTCTTACAACAAAGGAAGAACCAGACCCCTTTGGAGAAAATTCTCCAGCTACCAGGATTCTGCACCAGATGCTGGTAGAAGGGACAGGCAAAGACACACAGCAAGAAGTTCCTACTGAAAATCAGGTACCATTCTGCCACACATTCCGTGTCCTTCCTAGCTGCCGTGTGTCACAGAGCCCATCTTAATGTTTAATTAGGTCACTGCTTTGTATTCCTGTCCCTTGTTCTACCTACTCGGCACAAAAACCAAGGGGCCTGTTACAAACATTTAGTGGGAGGAACCGGACCTGAAACAATAGCAGCAGACACAGACCCTTACTGCAGAAACAAAACATTAGTGTTAATTTTGGGGAAAAAAACACCAAAGAATGAAACTTTCAGATTATGACCAATCCGAGTCTAAGTTATTTATTTAAGCCATCTCTTGCCACAAGCAAAGGGATGGAAAATCAGTATGATGGTCATCATGTGATACAAGTAAGGAAGGTGAGCTTAAGGTCCCATACGCTTTTCTGGTCCGAGTGCGGAGTAATGGTCCAAGTCAGAGCTTTGCTCCCGGATGCCTGGGTGATAACGGTCCAGGTTCTCTTCATTCATCTTCATAGCCGGTTGGAAGCGGATTCACATGAGGGTTATGGAATAGCGAATGGTTGCCATCTCCCCACGGAAAGGGCTGTGGAGGGAAGACGTCAATTAGATAATCTCAGAAAACAATTCAAAAAGAACACTGCTGTGAATGCTTAAGACAAGGCAGCAGATTAATACACAAAATAGAAATTAGTCCTTTACTACAGTATTTCAATCTTCCCCTATTTAAGGGAGCTCTTATTACTACCTAAAGTAGGTAGGAGAAAAAGCAAGCTCAAATTAGTTGTCACTCAAGCCTCTTCCTAACTGTTTCTCAGCCTTCTGGCTAAGATCATGTGTAATATATGATATCTGTTCTTACTAGTTTATTATCTGACATGTCCTTGATCTGTGGAATATATGTATGGGGAGGCAGTACTGGCGGTTGAACCCAGAGCATTTACCCTGAGATATATCCCTAGCCCTTTTTAAAATTTATTTTCAGCTGGGCATGGTGGCGCACACCTATAACCCCTGCACGTGGGAGGCTGAGGTAGGAGGATTGCCACATGTTTGAGGCCAGCCTGAACTACAGTGAGACCCTGTCTCAAAAATAAATAAATATTATTTTGGTACTGGGAATCAAACTCAGGACCTTGTGCTTGTTAGGCAGGCGCTTGTGCCGCTGAGCTATATCCCCAGCCTCAAATAAATAAATTTAAACATTTATTTTCAGACAGGGTCTTGCGAAGTCATTAAATTTCCCAGGCTGGGCTCAAACTGTCCAGCCTCCTGCCTCAGGCTCTCAAGAGTGCTGAGATTACAGGCCACCACACCAGCGTAAATAAACAGATTTCTAGTTTCCATCCTACACTTGAAACACTCTGGACTGGGAAACTGCAACCCACCCTCAATTATTTTGCTCACTGCATAGGACAGCAGCGCTCCACACTCCATTATCTGGCTCAAAATGCCAACAGTGCTGAGGTTGATACTACGTCGTTTTTGTTCCTAATTTCAGTGTACAAGGGGGGCAGTGGAACTCAAAAACTCAAAAATTCAAGAATCTTAGGTAAGTTACTATGAGGCTAGTCCTACACAGGTTAGGTCAGCGGTGTCAAACTTATGGCACACACGCTGCAGTAAGCTGTCTGTTATCACTGAAAACACTGGGCGAGGTGATGCCATAATAATTAAAGAAAAGAAAGAGGGTTTTAAAAAATGCAGCGAGCAGTGAAGAATAAAAGATTATAATACACTGGACAGCCAAAGGATAGCTGAGCAGACTGGCGTGATGGGGAACGGAGGAAAACTGTCTCTTCATTATGCAGCTGGTATCCTTTAGAGGCCCAGACCTTAGAAAGGTGAACCATCTTCAGATCTTGCCACAGGAAAAGCGTTTGCCAAGCCATGCGTAGGGCCGCATGCATGTAATCCCAGCACGCTGGGGGGCAGGAGGAACCCAAGTTTGAATTTAAACCTGCGTAACTTACCAAGACCCTCTCTCAAAATAAAAAAATTAAAAATGGCTAGGGATGCAGCACCGTGCAAAGGCCAGGCCTGCGTTCAATTCCCAATAGACTGCAAAAAGACAAAGAAATTAAAGGGTGTCGCAAACTTCTAGGTTTTATCCAACAGACAGCTGTTTCAGAACTGTATTACAAGGCAAGACGGGATGAATCCGAGAACAGGAAAGAAGGGCACTTTTTTTTCTTGTCCTTTTGAGACAGGGTCTCGCTATGCAGTTCAGGATGGCCTTGAGCTCACTTTGTAGCCCAGGCTGGTCTTCAACTAGCAACGATCCTCCTGCCTCAGCCTCCCGAGTGCTGGGATTACAGGAGTGCGCCACCACGCCCGGCAAAGGGCACTTATTGTACGGCCTTGGAGAACACTGAAACAGGACCCCAAGTCTGCTTCCCCTCTGTGCGCGAGCGATGCGGGGGCGCGGACAGCCCGGGGGGCGCACGCCGCGAGCTGCGGGCGGGCCAGCGCGTACCTTGGTCCTGATGCGGAGGTGGGGGTAGGGGATGAACTCGGGTCTCTCCTCTCCGTGGTGCGACTTCAGGAACACATTCAGCATGCTCACTCCCACCCCCGGGAGCGCCACGAAGAAGGTGAGGGCCTTCCACATGCGAGCTGCGGAAAGGCCACAGCGCTGAGCCCGGGCGAGGGCCGCCCGGGTCTCACTCTCCGTCCCGCAAGGCTTCCAGCCAAGGTCACAGGCCCGCCCCGCCGCACCCGCGTGGGGACCCGGCCCGCCGACCCCCCGCCTCGGTACCTGAGCCCTCGCCGTGGGCGCCACTCGACATAAGCCGCCCCGCCTCCGGGCGGGGCCGGCCTAGCAGCCGAGACACCCGGGACGCAGCTATCGCCGCAGCCACCATTTTGGTCCTGGAGCACCCGAGCGCCGGAAGCGGAAGTAGGAAAGGGTTGTGAGGGGGTGGGACCAAAACTCCAAAGGGAGGTTCTTATTGGATGATGACTTCTCAATCGTATAACTGCACCGAGAAGTCTGCGCACTATCATTGAAGCTGACCTAGTCCTTGTCAAAATCCGCGGAGCCGCAGACCTAGAGTGAGCATGCGCCCTGCCCCGCCCTTTGTGCAGCACCTTCCCCTTGAAAGGCGCGTGCGTGTTCCCTCCTAGCGTTGCTTGCTGTCCCACCTTGGTAAGCGTGTGAAGCGTGTGTGCGAGGCGTCCTAGTATCTATCTGATCGCTCCCTTCTTTGGAGTCCGTGGACAGCATCTGGAAATTCTAAGCACAAACTACCCTGTACAAAATGCCATTTCTCATATGGGTTTGGTGGCCCACACCTAAAATCCCAGTCTTCGGGAAGCAGAGGCAAGAAGATCACGCTAGTTCGAGGCCAGCCTGGGCTACCTAGTGAGACCTTGTCTCAAAAAAGGAAGAAAAGAAAAAAGAGAGAGAGACAGAGAGAGAGGAAGAAAGAAAGAAGGGAAGGGGAAAAAAGCCATTTCTCTTTTATGATCCTGTGTTATCTTTTTTATGGCATCTGACAGTATCACTGTCATTATCATTATTACTGTATTTTGTCTGAATCCCTCCAACTAGAATATAAATTCTGCTGTGCAGAGAATTTGTCATTGTAGCACTGTAACCTATGAATATTGTAGCCTAGAATGTGCTTGGTGGGCAGTAGGTGCTTAATACAATTTGTGGAATGAATGAATGGATGGATGGATGATAAATCACTAAATGGCACATGGAACCAGAAAGAGCTCTGGAGTTGGTGCCAAAAAAATCTAGATTCTGATCCAGCTCAACATTCTCAATTTTTTGCTAATATTCACACTGCTTTTCTGTCCCTTGAAATTCTACACAAATTGGCACATGTGAAATTATTTCTAAAAACTCGTTCTTTCCTGGTTTTTCCTTCCTTTTTCTTCCTTTTGTCTAAAAGCAGTTTTAAAAATAAAAGTTAAAGTGGTCACCGGGTGTGGTGGCACACACCTGTAATCCCAGCACTCAGGAGGCTGAGGCAGGAGGATCGTTGTGAGTTCGAGACCAGCCTGGGCTACAAAGTGAGCACAAGGCCAGCCTGAACTACATAGTGAGATCCTGTCTCAAAAAGACAAAAAATAAAATAAAATAAAATAAAAAAGGTGGGCATAATGGCCCCATGCCTGTAATTCCAGCTATTCCTGAGAAGCTGAATTGGGAGAATCCCAAATTCAAGGCTAGGCTGGGCAATTTAGCAAGGCTGTGTCTCAAAAAAGTTGGGGATATAGCTCAGTTGAGGATCACTTGCCTAGCATGTTCCAGATCCTGGGTGCAATCACCAGTACTGCAAAACAATGAATGAGTAAATAAATAAAAGTTTAAAAATATATATAGGTAGCCAGGCGTGGTGACACATGCCTGTAATCCCAGCACATTGGAGGCTGAGGCAGGAGGATTGCTTGGGGTTTGAGGTCAGCCTAAACTCCATAGCAAGTTCAAGGGCAGCCTGGACTACATAGTGAGACTCTGTCTCAGAAAAAAAGAAAAGAAAAAAAATATATGTAGGTAAGATGAAAGTAAACTTTTTGATGATTTAGTAATGTAGTGAAAATTTTGAACTGTTTTTCAAATAAAAACACACACACAACACTCACCTTCACACACGTGCACATGGTTTAGTAGATAAAGTTGGGGGAAGAGGTGACCATAAAGTACATTGGGAGACCCCTGAAGAATCCTTGGCTTAGATTAAGACCCTCCAGAGAGCCCATGCCAGTAGTCCTACAACAGCTATTAAGGAGTTTGAAGTGGGAGGATCAGCTCAGTCCGGGAGTTCAAGGCTAGTCTGAGCAGTATAGAGATACCTTGTCTGAAAAAGAAAAACAAAAAAGTAAAAGCCTAGCACAATGGTACACAGCTGTAATCCCAGGTATTTGGGAGGCTAAGGCTGAGGCAGAAGCATCATAAATTCAAGGTTAGCCTGGGCAATTTAGCAAGACCTGTATCAAATAAAATTGTAAAGGGCTAGGGTGTAGCTCAGTGGTAGAGTGCCCCTGGATTCACTCCTCAGTACCAGAAAAGTAAAATAAAATTAAAAACCACCTGGACAAAGGGTCCAAGTTCAGAGATCAGGAAACCCTGGGTTCAAGTCTCTAGTTTGCCATGAGCTATTCCTCCTCTTCTCTAGAATGGGATTTTTTTTTTTTTTTTTGTCTTTTTGAGACAGGGTCTCACTATGCAGTTCAGGCTGGCCTTGAGCTCACTTTATAACCCAGACTGGCCTTTGGGCTCACAACGATCCTTCTGCATCAGCCGAGTACTGGGATTCCAGGTGTGGGCCGCCACACCCGGCTCATAGAATGGGAATGTAATATGCATGTATTCATCCATTCAAACAACATTTGTTGTTGGGGCTGGGGATTTAGCTCAGCGGCAAAAGTGCCTGCCTGGCAAGCACAAGGTCGTGAGTTCGGTTCCCAGTACCGGAAAAACAAAACAAAACAAAACAAAAAAAAAACCAACATTTGTTAAAACCGTGCTCCAAGATAGGCCGAATGGTGTAATCCCAGCTACTCAGAAGGCTGAGACAGGAGAATCTTGAGTTTGAGACCAGCCTGAGCAATTAAGTGAGACCATATCTGAAAATAGAAGACTAAAAAGGGCTGAGTGTGTAGCTCGGTGGGAGAGCACTTGCCTGGCATGCATGAGGCCCTGGGTTCCACTCTGGTACCACAAAAGCAAACGTAAATAACCCAGCTCCACCTTGTGAAATTACTCAACCTCCCTCTGTAGTAAAGAAGGATTATTGAATATATATTAACTAAAGCACTCACTATGTGCCGAGTGTGTGCAGTTCACAAGAGCTACACCTCTTCTCTCTCCTTTTTTTCTCGCTCTCCCTTTTCTCCCCTCCCCTGCATTCTAGTAGAGACAGGATTAAATAAAAAATATCTAAGGCCTGAAATACAGTAAAAATTAACATTCATTTTCTTGTCAGGTTTCCCTACATCATGCAGGGTGGTCCTACGTAAAGATTCTGCCCATGATGGGCTTGACATCCAGCATATAGTTGGGCATGGTAGCTATTATGTTATCACCAGATACAATTAGCATTTGCGAAACTTTAGATGACTTTATTTATTTATTTATTTTTGGGTACCAGGAATCGGATTCAGGTAGGTGCTGCCAGGTAGGTGCTGCGCCACTGAGCTAAATCCCCAGCTCCTACCTGACTGACTTTAGAAAGACCAGAAAAGTCAAAACCATCAATACAAAAATTATGTGGCTGGGTGTAGTGGCACACACCTGTGAACCCAGCACTGGGGAGGCTGAGGCAGGAGGATTGTGAGTTTGAGGCCTGCCTGGGCTACATGGTAAGACTGCATTTTTTTCTTAAATGTAATATTTACTGAGCACTTATTTTGTGCCCAAATCTATGCTAAGCATTTTAAATAAACTTTCCCACCGTAGGAAATGACCCTTCCTTTCCCCAAGTCCAACATTCTGGAGTCCTTAAGCACCCTCCCCCACTTCCTATCCCATCCATAGACCAATCCTGCCAGCCCGTCCTTTAGCTATATCCAGACTCTTACCACTTCTTACCACCTATTGCCAACAGTTTAGTCAAAAAGTTCTTTCTCACGCACACCCGGCAACTGTGACACTGAGCCACTTGACTGCTCCCTCTGCTGTCCAATCCCCTGCTCTCTGCATGGCAGTCACAGGGACCCTGTAAATGCGGTCACCTCCCTTCTCTGCTCACAACCCACCAACGGATTGCAACTCACTCAGAGAAAAGAACAGTGTGGGCAACTAGGGCCTACCTAACCTGTGCCCAGCCACTCTCTGCCACCGTCCCTTCCTGCGTGATCACCGCTGCTGCCCGCTTCTCTCCAGCTACTCTGGCCCTTTTGCCTTTACACACACACACACACACACACACACACACACACACATACACGAGCCGGGTCTTGCCTCAGGACTTTTGCACGTGCTCATTTTCCTGCCCAGAAGAGTTCTCTGGGAAAGCCAGTTCTCATGGGAAAGCCCCATGCATGGCTCCCTCTTTACATGCAGATCTTTGCTTAGAAGTCATCTTATCTCGGAGAGGCCCTCCCACCCTACAGGGAAACAGCCCCTCCCCACCCTGACACTCTATCTGCCACACGGCGCCTCATCTGTCTTTGTCACACTCGCCACCATCTGCTGTATTAAATATTTATGGATTTCTGGTCCGCCTTCCTCCACCACACACCGTGGGGGCGGGGACTGGGTTTTGTTCATGGGTGATCCCGGCACCTGGCACATGATAGCCAGTTGCTGGGTAAGGATTAATGCCAACCAAGATCCCATGAGGTAGGTAACTGTTCTCCCCATTTTTTTTTTTTTCAGATGATCAAACTGAGACTCTGAGAGGTGCAGGAAGTAGTCCAAGGTCACACAGCCTAAAAGCAACTGCAGGACCCAAACAATTTAGGCCTCAAAGCCATATAGGGTTTGATTTAGGACAGTGGTGGTGAATCTATGGCACACGTGCCACTGCAAGCTGTTTACATCATTGAAAGCTCTAAAAAGTTCACTAACTCCAATGGGCCCTCTGCTAAGCTCATGCTGACATTATGCTCTAAAGAAAGATTCGCAAGAAAAACAACAACTGGCCCATTTCTGGCTTTGAGACCTGAATGTAGATTACTCAAGCCTTGCATAGTGGCACACGCCAGTAGCCTCAGCACTCCTGAGGCTGAGGCAGGAGGATCATTGCAAGTTCGAGGCCAGCCTGAACTACATGGCAAGAGCTTGTCTCAAACTAGCCATGGCGGCACACGCCTGTAATCCCAGCACTTGGGAGGCCAAGGCTTGCCACAAATCCAAGGTCAGGCTGGGCTTACATAGTGAGACCCTGTCAGGAAAAAAAAAATCTTGTCTCAATCAATCAACCAATCAATAGTGAACAAAAGTCA